GGAGAGCAGATCCTGTGCTGGGAGCAGAGCTGCAGCCACAGAGCCAGGTGTGGTGAGCAAGTGGGGCCAGCCAAGGGGGGACCTTGGGCAAAGGGCCCAGCACAGAAAGACACCTCCAGACAAGGGCCCTTGCAGGCCAGACCGGGAGGGGGACCTTAACCTGACGGGGGGCTGACGCTGGGAAGAAGGGTCCCACCACTCAAAGCCCGGAGGTGTGTGGCCACCACCATTGCAAGTGTCCAACCTGCAGCATCCCTGCAGCACAGCCAGGGCCTGAGAAGGAAATCTGGGACCTACAAGGAACAGACTGCGAAGTGCCCTGATGTCCAGAGACACTGTTTGTGATGTTCCCTGCCACAGAGCAGAGTGATGTGTTTTCCTTTAACCTCTCCCATTTTTCCTTATTCTTTTCTTTAGATTAATTGTTAATTAAACAACTTGTATTTGTTTTAAATTGTATGGAATAATCAGTGGATCAGGGAGGTGCCCAGTGCAGAGAGAGTACCCCGGAGTGGGGACACCCTAGCCCCTGTCCTAGGTGACCACAGCAGGGTTGGGGGTTGAGCCCCCCAGGAATCCTGGGCCCAGCCTTGTTGGGGTTACGAGGACTCTGCCAAACAGGAGAGTGGAAGGGGACCCCTCAAGGGCAGGGAGGCCTCTGGGTAAAGGGAGTGGGAGCGAGGACTCAGATCCTTTCGCTAGCCCACTTCACCGGGGTAGTGCAGAAGCCAGGAAAGTTCCCCACAATAGCGGGACCATTCCCCCGCTTACATTAAGCATATATTTAATTCCATTCCTGTTCAGCACAGCACTTACGCACATGGTTAAGTGTGTAAATCAGGGCCTCTAACAGGCCAATTCGGGGCCAGAGTGCCAATATCAGTGTTGTGACAGCTTCACAGTTCTATAGCTCAGGGACTGAGAGCAGTTACGTATCAAACCCCAGTTTCCAATACTTTGTTAGTCTCTTAATACAGAAGTGTGCTGCTATAAATTAAAACTTGTTTCTCAGGTTCTCACCCTGAGATCATGTTTATTGGCAACATTTGGCAAAACCAGCTTGTGTGTTTTCATGTTTGGGGAGCATCTGTACAGTGCTGGCCTCAGGCAGACGTTTGCTCTCCTTTAGCAAGGAAACAGTGAAAATAGATATAGATTAAATATTTTTTGGAAATGTCTCGCTCTTATATATAACATTTCTTTTGATTTATAATGCATAAAAATACTTTCTTGGGCTCTAGGCAGCTGTGTTATACATTCAAAATACAATTACATTAAAACAAAAAACAGCAGCTACTTCTCACCACCCCCTATACCAGAAAATAACTGATAGAGACATTCAAAACCCATAAAATATCCTCCTAACACAAATACCAGACTCTCTTATGCCCCCATATAAACTGGATTTATGTATGTGCAGGTCTGGATTTGTGTACAACACACACAAACTATATTAAAAGAATGTTAAGATTGCAAAGTCAAGCACTCAAAAGTTAGAAGATGGGAGAATTAAGGTTGCCCATGCAATCTTAACTCAGCCCCTTTGTGCATATGCATTACGATACAGGTTTTAGTTACATGATCACATCCTATTTTTTCCACAGGATCCCTGCCTCCTTCAGTGCAAAGGATAGACCTGCTCTGGGGATGAATCAGGGTTGCACAGTGAAGGAGGCTGTTATCTGTAGGATCCCTGGCTCATATGTTGAGGAAGTTGGAAGACGTGTAGGAACTTAGGTAAGGGATTGCAGGAAGGGAAAGGATGGTCTCATGGTTAAGGCAGTTGAATGCTGCAGTGGAAAATTGGATCCTATCCCTACCCCTGCCACAGAGTTCCTATGTGATGCTGGACAAGTAACTTGAACCAAACTTTTCACAGGCAATCACTAATCATTTTCTGGGTGCCTGACTTAAGATCCTGGGGCCTAATTTGCAGCAGTGCAGAGCACTCACAGCTGTAACTGAAGTCAATGAGAGCAATGCTTTGAACATATAAATTATGTAAAATGCTTATAATGCTAGGTACTCTGAAAATTACCCAAAATTAGTGGATACTTTTGGCTTTAATCTCTGTGCTTCAGTTCCCCATCTGTACAATGGGGATAATAACATCTCCTCTCATTGAGCTGTTGGGGAAATTAATTAATTAGTGTATGTGAAGCAATCAGATACTGTAGCGATGAGCAGCATAGAAAAGCCCAGTAGGAAAGTAATAATTATGTCTTCAAATCAGGGTTTGAATAGTGTGCAATGAATAAAGCGCAGGGCCACACATTAAAAAACAAGGTGAAGACAAGAAGAATCAATTGCCTAGGGAGGTTGTGGAATCTCCGTCATTGGAGGTTTTTAAGAGCAGGCTGTCAGGGATGGTCTAGATAATACTTAGTCCTGCCTTGAGTGCAAGGGAATGGACTAGAAGACCTTTCAAGGTCCTTTCCAGTCCTGCGATTCTATTAAAATATTAAGTAACTGTGATCCACTCTATGTACTACATGATACAGGGGTCCTGTGGAAAAAATAGCATGTGGTTATGTAATTAAAGAATGTATCATGATGCATATGCAGAAGGGGGCCAAATTAAGGTTACATGGACAACCTTAGTTCTGGCATTTCCACACTTCTAAGTGCTTGAATTTACAACCTTAATAATTTTCTTTTTAGTTAGTTTGTTTGTGTAATTTTCTAGGCTTTTAAAATAAGAAAACGGAAGAACAGACATTCTGTCATGTGATATCATATACCCACATGGATCATCAGCAGGGCTGGAACCTTTAGATCTACCACACAGACCTCTGACACTTGAGTTATCAGCGTAACTGGCAGCAATAGTAGGATGTTATTCTCTCTTTGGACCAGCACAAGAGGGGTATGAGACAGATTGCCGGTGGGTTTCAGAGATCTTCGCTGACAGCAGAAAAATGGTGAGACTCAGGAAACTTGGTTTCCATCCCAAGCTCTGGAGGGGAGTGTGCTCTAGTGGGCACAGACTCTTCTATTAACTCCCCTCAGATTCACTCACCTCCTCCCTGCCCCCATTCCACCCCAACACCACTCTGGTTCCTATATCCAGTCTCTTTGTCCAGCCAATCCCAGTCAGTTTCTCAACTCCTGCCCTCTAGCTCTAGTCTGACCAAAGTCCTTATCCAAATCTACTTCTTTCCCTCCCTCCCGGTCAAGCGCATTCAAATCAGATGGCTTCCTCCACTATGCTGCCTGGGTGACAAGAAGGGGTCATCGAGGGTCCATGAGAGACAGGCTCCCTGCTCTTAGCTCCAGTGTCTGGCCCAACTGTGGCCTGGAGCAGCCATGACAGGGAAAGTCCAGATTCAGCCATGAAGCCCTGGACTGGAAGGAGAATGCTCAGTAGCTCTCTGAGAAAGATGCAATGCACAGTCTGGACCTGTGACAGGCTGGAACATCCTCAGTGAGGACAGTGTCTTCAGAAATCTTAGCTGTTAAAAATCAAAGTCTTTACTGAGCATGTGCTAACTGATTTTTCAGAGAGATTTAAAACTTGGCCAAATGTGGGCAGATTTTTCACAGGGGCAGTAAAAGGCATATCTCTGACACAAATGCCACCACCTGCCAAATTTCATTTCCCTTCTCCAAAGCATGTGGGCCCTAGATCTCATCAAAGAAAGGGTCACCAGCATTTTTTAGTAATGAACAAAACTACCTATTTTTCCCTAGCCTTTTTCCTTAGAAGTCGCAGAACCATTTTGGCTGAAATTTTTCAGGAAGTTTCAGCCAAACTTGCACCTGGCATGTAAAATTTCAGCCCAAATGGTTTACGATTGGCAAAGTTATAAGCAACTGAAAATAGGGTCTTATAATGGGAAGTACGAGGCAAATGAATGATGTGTGTGATCCAGCACAGCACTTAAACACATGTTTAACTTCACGCCTGTGATTAGTCCTATTGGCTTCAGTTAAACTACTTTTGGCTTACGTGCATTTCTGCATCACGCCAGAAAGCTACACTGCTCTCAGAATCAAGCCGTTTATGTAACTCAATAAGTATCAGTCATTTTCAGGACATTTTAGTTAAACTGTTTTTTTAAACTATCATAAAGCAATCAGAAAGGAAATTAGAAGAAGTTAATTTTCTGTGTTGAACGTAGTGAATTGGGTGCACAACTACAGTTAACAGTAAATGGGTGTTATGTATCTAATCTTCAATTAACATGTAGCCCTGAGAGTTTAAATTAAACCCATAAAAGCAAGGAAATTCAAAGTTAAAGTGGAAATATACCATACATCCTCAGTTAACAAGGCACAATGGGTGTACCCTTTACTACAGTATGCTCTAATAATGTGCCCTATTGCACCTGAGTATTTCAAAGAATGTATTAAATTAGAATTTATTTTTGTATATTAAACTCAGGCCCTCACATTTACTTTGATGTCAACTTTGTGAT